ACGCAGGCTGAAGCACGACTGTCGGAAATGTAAGTGCGATAAAACTTCTAGGTCAGAGACATCGAGAAGGAGAGGAGAATAAATATATAAATATATATAAATAACAAACAATCACGTCAGAGAATCAATAACAGTTCTTTTAAAATGTAGGATATGTAGGATAAGTTAGAATAAATTTAGGTACAAGTCCGTAAGAAGATTGTAACCCTAAGGGGAGCAATAAAGCTAATTCTATTCTATTCTAATAACAGAGTCATATATAGGGTAAAGATTCTCGGTATCTTTTTTTTTAATCGGTGTTAGGATCCATTTTAATGTGCAACATTTTGGCAATTTCTCTCTTTCTCACACGTTTTTCACAGTTTAACTGTGAAGCGTCACTCTCTTTCCCAGGTCCAGTTTCCTTCAGAGTTATCAATTTTTGGAAAAAGTGGCTCCTGCTGGCCCTCCCGAAGGAAAGCGGCGTCTTCCACGCGGTGCGTTGTTAGAGATCGGAAATTTCGGCCCTCGAAATAGCGTGGGGCTGTGTGTGGAAATGACAGCCGGCTCGGCTCGGTCGCCCCCATCATGTCGCGTGGGGGAAGAGGGGTGGCGCGCGCGGGAATCCCGGCCACCCTCTTCCCCGTCGCCTAGGCTGCATATATCGACCCACCGATGGCGAAGCGGAGTGTGCACGACCCCTGACTCGCGCACACATGAGGAAGAGAGAAAGGGAGAGAGAACGAGGACTACTCCTTAACCCTCATCCGTGTCGTCGCGGGGTAAAATTTGACGGACCGACGGATATCGGGATAGGCGTCGGCTCGGCAGTTGCTGCCGATCGCTTATCATTTCGAGTGCAGTCATCGATAATGTACAACTGCGAGACTCAACGTAACCGCTGAGTAATAATCGGGAGAAAGAATAATCTTTATCTCAAGGAATTAAATAAAGAAATGGTGAAAATGAGGGGATCCTCAAAATTCTCGCTCTTCCACAAACTTTTAATCGCGAATCGTCGTCACGGAAAGCGAAGAAAAAGCAAAAATCAGAAAATCTGTTTGTCTCCTTGAAATAAAGAATCTTACAAGAAATAAATGATCTTATTCCTTCCAACTATCCCGCTGAAGTAGATTTAACGCAGTTTTATCGTCGGGCATCAATTAACGATAACAGAGTTAAGCTTCCCCGCGTCTGCCTGGTGCGGATAGCGACATTACTTGAGCTACGCGATTGTCAAACAAAGCGGAAGTTAAAAAGCAAGATTCCCGCTGATCGTGGCGTAATCGGAGTCGCCAAGTAGGAAGCGCGTGATAGTCTCGACCCCATAATTCGCCTCACCGATTCGGAGAAGAGAACAGGACGAGGGGGAGAGCGGGAGCGAGAAAAGTCGGAGGTGTCAGATTTTTACGAGCACCTGTTCACCATTTTTCCCTCCGCGTAGAGGGCTCGCGTCGTCAGGTAGATACGCGGGGCTCGTAGGGCCCCGCGTAGGGGTACCCTATCGACCTGGAAACCTGTTCTCCCTTCTCTCTCCCGCCACCCTCTCGTCCTCCCCGTTCCCCTTCCGCGGCCCCCGGCCACTCCGCTGCTGGCGGCGAGAGCGATGGAAATGAAAAATTAGGCCGTTGTCGGGACCTCGCCTCCTTCGGAACCCCTGCCTCCTCCCGCCGCCACCTCCGTGCCTCGCGCGCCGACTTTTTCGTCACTGCCATTTATTTATCGCACGCCGACACGTACGTACGGGGTGTTTGTAAAACACGCGGCCGGATTTCCACACCGAGTGCGGTCGAGTATGCGAGGAAAGTTCCTTCGGGCTTACGTCACAAAGCGCTTTATCAAAAGGTTCCAAGGAACTTTCTTGTGTCTAATTCGTTTGTTTACGATTTCTCACAAGTATGCCATATATCCCAGATCGTGACTCGTGTAACCGTTTCAAAGCCTAGTCCCCGAACGACCCTTCAGGCTCAATCGTTAAAAATTTAAGAACTCGGAGAATTTTCCTCTATTAGAAAAAAAAACCGATTCCATATCGGCTAGACACGAGGTGGGCAAGTCCGAGGCAAATTGCGCACAGAAAAGCGATTCCCACCCAGAAGCATTTCCCGCTCAAAGAGAAGATCGCCACCGATTACATCCTACGTCACCGCATCGCCGACACTCTTTCATTTAACGATTTATTTGTGCCATGCGCGCATCCGGAAGCCAGAAGATAGACGACAACGCTGAATCATCCGAAACCCACTCTACCCTACGCCCGTCTCGCGGAACACGAGTAGTCCGAGGGTTTTAATTTGAAATGCGCTGAAATATTTGATCGCGCAGACGAAGGGCCCGTGAAGGAGACGCGACCGATCGTCACAATTCGCGGCTCGCGCGACTAGAGACCCTGTAATCAGAGACTGGCCATAAGAGTTCGTCAAATTCCCGCGAGTGAGAGAGAAGCATAGGCTATCTCACTCTTCTACGATCGTAGAATCTTGACGAATTTGACGAGCTCTCACGGCCAGTCTCTGATTACAGGGTCTCTACGCGCGACTATCGGCGGGCGCCGCGCCACGTGTATTCCTCCGACACGGTGTATACCTGCGGATTGACAGGTTATTGACGGTCGGTCGTTACTGCACGCGTGCACGCGGTAACGAGGGCGAGTGCGCTCCGATTCCGAGTATGCGTAAGCGCGCGTGCACGCATGACCGAGCGCACGCGAGGGCGCGTCAAGGATCGCGATTAACTTTGTTACTTGTAACTCGGCTGTAACGCCGTAGCGATTTTCCTTATGAAAACAGCTTTGCACTGTCGCCGACGCGTCGTCGTACGTACGGAGCAATGGGCGTAACCGGAAATTAATCCCGGCCAACCTAGGGGCGCCAAACTTTGTTAATGCAAATAAATCCAGTCGCATATTAATATGCGTTCGCTTTTTCATTTAGTACATATTAGTGCGCTCTTGCCACAAAAAAAACCCAAGCCTCCACGGATAATTAATTAGCACGAATTAAACGTATCTTGTGGTGAGACGTTCGATGTGAACGACGTGACCGCGGCCGATCTGGATCTTGCTTTACCAGATTTTCTTCCAGAATTCCTTAAAATCAACCGTTTGCACTTGCGACATTCTGTACAAGACTGGTATAAGGCTAATGTGTCTTTTCATTATTTACATCTCAATCAATTCGATCCCGCTACCTCGCTCGACACGTATAACCACAGAAATTATCGAGAGAAAGTGGAATGATCTAAAATTTACGCGACGGTAATTAAAGGGACGTTGACAGACGAAATTCTTTCGCCGATAAATTGTAACGCTGAAAAATTGCAGCGTTAAAAAGAGCTAAGCCGACAATTTCAGGATCGGATCGACTCACGGCGATCGCCATGCGCACACCCTTAGGCGCGTCACCCTGTATATCTAAGAGACTACATTATGCTTGCCGACCTGTTGCTACCCTTTCCTGCCTCGCACCCTTCTACTGTTCCTTCCGATCTAATCCACCCGCCGCTGCGAAACGGAACCCTCCACCCCTACGCTCGTGCGCTCCTCGAGCTTTCCTTCTCGTTCAACTTATCGAAGCCGTTCTATATTCTTCGTTTCGGCCTCCTCTCGGTTTTACTACCTTCTCCTCTCGTCGTTTCTCCCTTTCGACTGCCTCGTCAATCTCGCGATCTCCATCTTCCGTCCCTTCCCCACGTCTCCTCTCTTCTGCACTCCTCATCTTTTCCTTGTCCTTTTTAAGGGGATCCTAAAGCCGTCTGTTTTATCCACATTCTTTGTTAGACGTAAGCTTTCAATTGGCTTTATAGAAATGCAAAATTCTTTTATGGAATTAAAGTACACAGCAAAATCTAGACTATGCTGGTCGACTTTATATCAAAAACGGAAAAAAATAAAAAAATTTTACTAATTTTGTACACTTGACAACATTTGCTTGATACAAGAATTGTAAATTTCTCGGATCGAGTAGAAGTTGGAATTAAAAATGTCGACAATTGACGTTTTTAATTCCGTCTCCTAGCCTATCGACACTGATCGAGTTCGCCAGCGGCTTTAGGATCCCCTTAAGCTCGTCGGACTCGACTTTTCTTTTTTTCAAAGCCGCTCTCTACACGAAACGCTAATGACGCTATGATACTAATAACGCGGTATCGATATCTTAACGTACTGTCGCATTTCTGACTCGACTGGGTTTAAAAGTATAAGCAATTTCTCGTCCATGCCTCGCCTCGGTGCTAAACGAATTCTAAACGAAGATTTATAGACGTAGACGTCTACAGCAGATCTATCCACGGGGTGCCCCGAAATGTTAAACCGTAGCTTTAAGAACGGATGCTTTGACCAGTTTGAAATTAGTCTTTTTCTCCTTTTTTTTCTCTAATTAAAATGTACAACGATCTTCCGTTCCCGAACAATTCTCATGAATTAATTGTACTTTTTCGATTATGTTTTCGCTGTGTTCCGAGTTCACTTCAATTGACAGCCCGAATCGAAATTTTGGCCCAATGTTGAACCTTTAATTTTATTATATAGTAGGACTTAAAACAGTAAAAGAGGTCGAACTATGAGTAAAAAATTTCCATCTACTTTAAAACTCATAGTGTCGGAAATTTCTGCTTTCGCCAATTCAGCATTAAAGCAGGTCCTTTTCAGTAGGAGCTAAAGTAAATTTTTAGAATTAAAGATTCAAGGAAGGAGTAAAAAATATAATGTCAAAGTAGGTAATTGCTGGTCTATGTAGATGTATAGATCAGCTAAGTAGGTGCAATTTATCCTTAAAAGTATCAAAATAGTACCAAAATTTCGACTCGGGGGGGGATATTGAAAATCAATACGGCGAACATGTTGCGACAAATGAAAATGATCATTGAAACTTTTGATAAAAAAACCTGACTTTGTAACTAATGTAAACCATAAAGGAGCCAGAGGACAATTGAAATTAAGATCGACGCCCCGACCGAACGTCTCTCGCGTTTGTCCAAAATTGAGATTAATATCGTATGTTTTTCCGATACTCTGATTGCAGCCTCGGGAGGGGGTGGTTCGATGTTGGTCCCTCCCGTGGCCCAAAGTGGGACCGGGGATCGTCCCGTGGGGGACACGGTGGCACGGACTCAGCAGACAACCGGCCCCGCTGCCGCTACGACGACCCTATGGCCTTTAGCACCTGCGCAGCCCAATCAGGTTCCCAATCAACAGTCCCAGGGTATACCACCTCTGGCCGCTACGCCTGCGCCCGCTCACAATCAAGGTTCGCATTACATTATACGTATCAATCATCATTATTATCTCGCGGCGGCGTAACGATCCGGAGATTGAACTGCCCCGAAAGGATTCGAGAGCCCGATATCGAGTATTCCTCCCGAATACATTGCGGAAACTTATACTACATTTGTTTCTTGCTACGCGGTATCGCGGTGTTTTCGATCGAACTTTCAGACGATCTTTCCGTCGTTAAAACCAGGGCTGCGAAAGTTACTTTATAAAAGTATCTAGTTACAGCTTTTTCCCTAAAAGTGTAACTAGTCACAGTTACACGTTACAAATTCTGAAAAGTAATGCGTTACAGTTGCAGTCACTCGTAAAGTAACGAGTCACTTTGCAGTTATTTTCTTGCAATAAAAATAAAAATGTTAAATCTGCATTTGAATTGTAAAGTGTCGATAAAGGCGTTCATGTGCAAATGCAAGACCTAATGCGATCTGTGGAGGTTAAAAAAATATATAAAGTGACTATTAATGTAACTGAGTTACGTTACAGATGGAGAGAAAGTAACGAAGTTAAGTTAGAGTTACAAAAAAAAGGTAACTGCAACTGCAACTTCGTTACAAGTAACGAGTTGCTTCCCAACCCTGGTTAAAATACAACTTGAGAGCTGATCGCAATGTTGTTTCACGTAAAAGATGTGCTGCATTGATAAATAACTTTATCTCGATTTTAATCCGAATGCTTACTCTCCAACTTTAAAGATATTCAATATCGAACAGTCATAAAAATGCAACAAGATATTGGCGCAGTTGAGTTTTCGCGCTGAGAAAAAAATCGTCTTCAACGACGAATATCACTGTGTTCCTATCCACATGTTATGTAATATTCACTATTGATCAGAGGTCGTTCACGCTTGACGTGTAATACGCTTATCACGCTTTATCAATCCGATATCTCGAATTCAGGCTGCATGCAAGACCCCTCGTGCGTCGAAATAGCTCTCGGTTGCAGGAGAGTTAAACTGAAGATCTAAATATCTCCGGTTCACTGCCGAGTTTCACGAACTCTTTCGTCTTCTATCTTGCGAAACGACACTTTATCAATTTTATCAATTTCGGGATGAAACAAGTATTTACTCTTTTTTCCTTATCAAGTTTCCATCCATTTTGGTATTGGCATGGATGATATTTTGCGGTATCTATCGTTCTATTCGCCTTGACGTTTGAAAAACTGGACAAGTCTGGATATATTTTACAATATATTACAATTGTTTATACTTTTTACAGAACTGGCTGTAAATACGAGCAGTTTATTTTGTATAAAGTCCAGTCCTGTTTCGAGACATTACGAATTGCGGATATGAGTTGCCGTGACGCATTGCGTTGAATATTTCTATGATAAATCATATATGTGTGGCGTTTGAAACATTATGTAGAAACTAAGTACGTTACAGAAGTCCTGATTTCAGATTCAATGGTAAAAGATACGTAGAAAATGCAATTGTATTTGTGGTTTAATCCATGCAAAATCCATGCAAAACAAAGCGATTTGCCACAGATATTAGAGATAGTCTGGCATGCAATACGTTTCCATATCGCGTATTTTGAACTAGGTATTAAGGAAAGAGAGAAGGATGCGAAAAAAACATTGAATCTTTTCCCGTTCTATTCTTTGTAATAGCTAATTGCGCGTCCGCGGCAACCAAGAAAAGAATGATCCGATATTTCTCCCCCTCTTTCAGAATGTAAGTAGTCAATGACACATCTATCTTTACTTACAATTAGTCGTTTTAACGTATTCCTTTTCAGAAGTATATCGTCCGCCAGTATTTCGTCTCGTCCTAAAACAATCAAGTGCGAAAATTAAGTGTCAACCGCAATCTCCTCGCGTTATCATCAATTCTTAGGTTTTTCAATTCATTATTAACCGTCCGATATCTCGACGATGATGTTACAGGTGCGAACCGCTACGGACTGTACTCGTTATTCCCAGGGGGTGGCGGGGGCAGTTACGTCGCCGCCACCCCCGCCACCCCCGAGCAACCGATGCCAGCACGGGCTTATCACGCGACGCACAAGGGTAAGTTTACGACTTCCTTTCTTACGACTTCGCTTTCTTCGAAGACTAGAGGATATCTCTTGCCGCGAACGCGTTTTACATTTTACAAAAACAGCGAGCGTTTTTATTATGTTGTCGAGCATCGGGTTTTATAAAATGTAAAATAATTGAGAGATTTCGACGCTGACATTAATGGCAAATTCTACGATAAATCTTGCGTCAATTTCCCCTTCATTACAGTCCAGAGATCGATACCTTCCGCGTTACATGCGATTGAAGATAAAGACATTTCTAGATTCCAGATACATCCAGACATTTATATAATAACAAATATACGTAGATTTTCTTATAATATCCCGAATCGAAATTTTGGTACTATTTTGACACTTTTGATGATAATTTACACCTACTTAGCTCTGATCTATACACCTACATAGACCAGCAATAACCTACTTTGATGACATTATAGTTTTTACTTCTCCCTTGAATCTTTAATTCTAACAATTTACTTTAGCCCCTACTTAAAAGGACCTACTTCACTGCTAAATTGGCAAAAGCAGAAATTCCCGACACTATCAGTTTTAAAGTAGGAGTAAATTATGTACTCGCAGTTCGACCTCTTTTACTGTTTTAAGTTCTACTATATAATAGAATTAGAGCTGGGCTACGATTTTCAAAATAGAACTAAAACTTTCATAAATGACTGAGGCAATAAACCTCGATGTAGGATCTTGAAGGATCGAAGGAAGCTTGCTTGACGATCGAAAGATTAACAGTCACTCTCAATTTTGTCACCCTTGCAATTTTTCCTGCCATCTTCGCAAATAGAACAACCCTCCCTCAGATAATTGAAATTTCGTCGGCGAGATTCGATTTTCGACAAGACTCCGAAAAGGAGGAGGATTCGATCCTCCGACGCGTCCCTGCGTTCCCCCCCTTTTTTTTCTCTTTCTCGAATCCACTCGCCGTCTACCACTTCACGGAGCCGCGTTTTGGGTTACACCTCGAACAATGAGGTTGTTAGGCTCTAAGAAGGCGAGGCAAGGTCTACACGACGACTGGATACGCGGCTGTACGCGGGAATTCTATTTGTGACGCGCGCGTTTTTCTTCAACTCCTCCGGGTCCTTATCCGAGTTCGTCGCTTTAATTGCATAATTGCTCCATTGTGGCCCAGACAAGGGACCCGCGAAACCCGTGAAAGGTCTCCTTCGAGTCGTCTTTCGCGAACCGTCAAAAAAGTAGTAATACGGAGTGTTCGTTGATTGACAGCAGGCTCTCAAATCGAATCTCGAGTCGATTTTTCATGGGAGAAATTCTATTTATCGTAATTTCTAATTTTTAATCTTATCTTGCATGCTTCCACATTGTTGCAGAACGGACAAGTAAGTATAAACGAATACTTTGATTATTTTCCTTATCACATGTGACGAGGAAAGAACCGCGGACATAAATGCAAGTTTTTTTTAGTGCTCTGGGAAAAAAAACTACAGTTAGCAACCCATTTTGGGGCCCACGATTAGTAATCGAATTATTTGGATTGTTCGTAACTCTGGGAGAAATTTTGACCGCTTTTTTTCATAGTTAAGCAACTTAACATTTCGGTTAATGCCTCTTAAGTGAAAATTATCTTTGCGTTATTGAATATCGACAGAATGTCGACTAACTGAGAGAATTGATTAGTGTTACTTAAAAATTTTGGCTATAGATAGAATAGAAAAATTGCGATTTTTAGTTACGCGAGGTAAAATTCGTAAAAGATTAGAGTGTTACGAACAATCCAAATAATTCGATTACCAATTGTCGGCCCCAAAATGGGTTGCCAACTGTCTTTTTTTCCCAGAGTGCGCTTTGAGAGAAAGACATGCTCTCGATGAACCCATTAACGACAGCCGATTTTATGCATCATTGTGGATATCAACGGGTTATTTTTCACGCACATTAAATTGCATAGGCAGATACGTATCCGCATTTAGATAAAATCAATAGTCCTAGCAATGGCGCAGCGCGCCACAGAAGATATATCGCGCTGCCGCGCGCGCTGATAGACGCGTTCCCTCCCGAGAATTACGCGTTTTCCTTGCGAAACGGGTCCCGAAATTATTAATCATTCCATTCTATTGTGTGCGTCTTTCTTCAGGAAAACTCCACAGTTAACTAATTATCGATAAAATATCCAATCAGTTAATTATCGGTAAAATACGGAATTTTAATTACTGGCGAAGTATGGGACTGAAGTAGCCCCCACGAGCTACTCGCCCACGTTTTACCAATAATAAAAAGCAGAAAATATTTCGGACTTGCTACGTAAATTGCAAAAATTTACAGATGCAGGTGTACAAGAGCTACGTGATTACGTATTATACAGAAAATTGTTGCAATAGAATGTTACGTTATAAATAAAAAAGATTTTTTCTAAATTAAATGATACAAAAGAAAAATCAACTTCAGCTTTGTCGCTATCTCGGTTCATCTACATCAAACGTGTATTGTTAGCGCTTGTATTCTTATTGTCCTTAAAATTGGAGACTGCATCTCGCTTGTTTTTCCTTAAATTATAGTTTGACGCACTATCGCTTACAAAAACGTGCGCATGTGGCCGTGTATGATGTGCAAATGTATGCGAGTGCTTCGCAGTTGGGTATTGAGCTCGGGTTCGTGGGTACGTCAAGCCTAAATGACTGTGCGGATCGGTCATCCCTGCGGGAAGGAAAGAAAGAAGCGTATTGTGTAGCACCGCACGGACATCATGCGTGAAAGAGTTAAACGTTCTAGGGTTAACAAACTGCACGTTACGCCGAGTAGAGTCAGTCTATTCGCGTATCGCGATATCGTACACGGTATTTCCTACTCGCGCGGCTCGCGGCAGACGAAACTTACGTTTATCGGCGGAAGGCCGGGTCGATTAATCGGCGGCGGATTCTCCAGTTTCAGAGAGCGTGTTTTCCGCGGCGGTCGGGGTTGGGATGGGTGGCTACACCTGGGGCGCTCCCACGCCCCCGCCGGGATCGCCCTATAGCCCTGTGCCCGTGACACAGCTGGAGCTGCTGGCGAAAAATTTGGCGAACCTGGCGCCTGCAGCCGCCACAGGCCAGCAGGCCCTGAGCCTGCAGGGTGTCGGCGTTAACGTGGCGGGTAGTTTGCATCACGCCCAGCATACGCAACACACGCAGCACACTCTCAATCTCACCGGAATTCATCATCTGCATCACGGTGAGAATTTATCCGTATCGCCTAGAATTGCACGATTTCGAAGCACCGCGAGATAAATAGTACAAATTTTGCCGTGGTATAAAACTTCATTTTTTTCTTCAATTTGAAACGAGACTTTCGAAACAAAACGGCGTAAACATCGTTGTCGAATCAAAATTTTCGCTACCGTAGCTAGTCATGGTTTGCCGAAAATATTTTGCTGCCGTAGCTATAAATTTCCAAACCACGGCAAACGATTTGCTGTCGCACCTAATACAATAGGCGCAGTAGCAAAATATTTGGCTATCCCAACTAAATATTAGCTGTCCATATTGTACAGCTGAAATTTAGTTGCCACGTGCAGTTTCTAGCTACAGCAGCTACACTTTTCTTTCCGTGTACGGTTTCACTCGTGACGTTATTGTAACCGAAAAGAAATTAAAAGAGAATTAGAGATAATTCAAACATAGAAATCTCTTCAAGTTACCAGTAATAGATAATCAAGCTTTTTAGTCGACATTAACCGGCCAGTGTTTTAGTACAGAAAATTTATTTTGAAAAATTACCTCAGCCAGGGTTTGAACCTGGACTTGCCTGCTCTCCAGGCTATGTTACATGTCTCAGTGGCCGAATTGGTGGGACGCCCGAGAGAGTAGGGAAGTCCAGGTTCAAACCCTGGCTGAGGTAATATTTTTCGCAATAAATTTTCTGTATTAAAACACTGGTCCATCATGTCGACTAAAAAGCTTCATTGTTATAGGTAATGTTATTCATGGCAATGTGTTACCCCCCTAATATTAAATTGCCCTCATCCTTACCCTGACAATATCTACTTAACATTATTATCATAGTTGATACCCGGATAACTCACATTACCCGATCCAGATCACCAGCCCTAATTTTCATACAATAAACAAAGCCTTCCAGATGGGAGGTTTCCTTCGGCAAGGTTAACAGCCTACCGAAGATGAAGTAAAACCAAATGCTCAAAGTACCAAAACGAACTGGATAGAACAGGCTTTAAGCCTAATCCACGAGGAAGAAGAAGAAGAAGAAACAAAGTAACGAATTCGCATAAAAGAGTTAAATATAACGGAACAGATATCTCCGATTTCAGAGAAATTACGAGTAGACTGACATTATAAATCATTACCTCATCTATTATGCATCTTGTATTAACCAAGTGTCGACGAATTGAATCAATCTGAATTTGCGGAAGTGAGGTAAACTAATGAGAAGAGTAAATTAGAATAGACTTTGATTTCTTTCACACTTAGCAAGTGAGTTCGCACAACTCATTACGCGAACAGCAATTTTGTCGGCGCAGCGAGTGAACACTTGTAGCACTTCCCGCGCGGAAAAAGCATCGGAAAAGACTCGAAAAAACATGTACGCGAGTTTTTCCTATATCCCTCGATTATACGTTTACCGATGCGTTTCGACATTATTTCTGCGAAAATCATTTCCATTTCAAATTATTTTACATTACCGGCACAATATCAATCGTCACGAAAACAGCGCGGGTCGTTACGTTCGATTTGTATCTAAAGCTCTCTCGTTTCTCTACAGTATCGACGCGTAAATTAATTTATGGAAAACACTGAACCGTTGGCACACATCCGGACGTACTCGGATGAATTGCTCGGATTCGTTGTACGGTAAGGAATACGTTAACGTAATTTTCTGTGCTTTTCGCGAAAGGTGGTCTCCATCAGAACACGTTCTCGCCTCAGCTGTCGCTAGTAACCGGCAGCGCACCGACGTTGACCATCAACAGCTTCTCGTCGCCCAACTCGACCAACGGCATCGCGCCGACGACGGGTGTCCTCCTGCAGGAATATCAGCCGCCAATAGGCGCGACAGCGGCGGCGACAGGATGTACCGTCACCATGAACGGCTCGTCCTGTCTGACCAACACCAGCAGCTCGACCAGCAGCATGATGATGCACGGTGGTATCGGCGGCGGTGGCAACCAGGCGACCGGCAACCAGATCGCCGTTCAAACCACCGCCACGAAGAAACGGGAGGCTTTCCTCTCCAGTCAAGGCCAACCGGTGAAGCTGGAGAACAAATCGAGCAGGACGTCGTGCCTCTGCAGGAACAGCAACGGTACGACGTCCGTTCTCCCTCGGACTTTTCCATGTAAAACCGAATGAATAGCGCATGCAAACGGACGTGTCACGCTCCGAGATTAGGGCCGATACTTTGGACCGGGCAAAATAAGCCGGCCGAATATTCAGATACCTGCTCGCTGCTCGAGTGCGCTCGGCCAATATCCGGGTATCCGAGTATAATTGGCGCTGTTCGGAATACGGGACGACGAATCTATTTTTTTTGCAATTCTCCACACTTTCGAACTTTTGTATTTTAGAACTTTTCAATTCCGTCTTTAATTTGTCGGATCGTCGAAACTTGAAATTTGGAAAAATTCGATGTTAAATTCCCGAAATTATTGCCGCGTGCATAATAATGGATCGCGGATCGAACGACTCGGGGTTTTCAACTTGTACGCGTTAACGAAATCGGAAATTGATTGATTACAGGGAAGACAAAGATGGTGCATTCAGATGTGGGATGCAGTAGGACACTACCTGTCGTCTCGTCCTGGAACGGGCAGGACAGCAGCGCCGGTCTTAGCAACAGCAGTGCTAGCCTGACCGTAAAAAGGGAACCTTTGGCTTCGGTGCCCTGTCAGGTCGCAGAAGTTTCCACGTCTCTTCATGCCACCACCACCTCCGTCAAGATTGAGCCCGTTCCACCGAAGACCGAGAATGGTAAGTCGATCCCCGACAAAAGTCTCGTCTAAGAAAATACACGTCTAACCTGACCCGTATAGTCATAATTACATTTAAATTACGTACGTTACATCACCAGCCGCACAAAGAATCGCCATTCGTTGGGTACGTAGGCGACGCGATACGAGAATCTCGTTTAAGATATAAATGCAATTTTCAAAATTAAGACACCTAGACCTCTCGACGAGAGTGTGCGAGAAATGATCCTTCGCGAGGACTGTGATACACGAGGCTTGTGTGAGATAATAAATAATGTCATCTGAAATCAACATCATACTTTTCAACCGCATGAAGAGTCGTCACGCCGTTCGCCTAATACGAAGGCGGTGCGACGCCTTTTTTGATAGGCGCGCAAGTTCGGGGAGGAGGGAAGATGCGTGCATATACCGCGCGATATGAGAGCACGGGAGGAAGAGAAGCAAAAGTGGGAGAGAAAGAGAGAAGAGAACGATGCGAGGCGAGAGACCGACCGGTCTGTCGGTTCACAAGCGAGATGGCGAGAGGAAAAGAGCAAAGAGGAGGCGCGGTGAGGTGGATAAGAGAGAGCGAAAGAAAAAAGAGAGAGAGAGAGAGAAATAAGAGCGAGAGAAAGAGAGAGCGGCAGGCAGACAGTCTCGTTAAAGTAGGAGGTGCGTGGCACGCATGGCGACGCAAACACAAGGCGTGGTTCGAAAGAGTCTCGACCCTCTCTCCGGTCCTGACACATCCGCACTCCCTGGTACACCGCACGGTCCTCGTGCCGGTGCGTGATGCCCACACGTGTTACGTCATGCGAGCATAACGCGTGTCGCCGAAGGTGCGGAGAAAAGAGACGGACGGCGAGAGGGAAAGAAAGGAGGAGGAGGATGGAGCGAGGTGGGCGCGGGGAAAAGGAAGATCGAGATGGTGATTTAAATGAATGCACTTCCGAGTGAATTGCCGCGTTCCAGGTGAAAATACGTCGGGTCGAATGCCGCGAGAATAATATTAACAAGAATAGACGAATAGATCGAGACGGTGATTTTAATTAATGCATCACGTCGACGGGATGCACGTAAACTTACTTATGTTGTATCCACCATTTATCTGATTTTACTTAGCGCGCCCTTAGCATTGATATGCAAAAATACGATTTACTAATCGCGGTAATCGACATGCTTTTATGCGTCTACGTAAAATTGAATTCGACAAAATCGTTCGATCTCTCGATTCAAAAATTTGCGGTGTTTGACAAAATTGTTATACATCGAGGAAATTCACGAGGCTTAACCGATAATGCAGAAGGGAGTCTGAACAAATGCGTATCAGATATGAAATTCACGTGGAGGGATTTCACGTAAAAATCTTATCTATGTTGTATCTATCATTTATCTATAACTTATAATTGAAGTTTAAATCACAACAATCTAATTCTACGAAAGAAAAACATCACTCGCAGTCGCCAGTGATGATGAAAAATTTTAACAATAGGAAAACAAGAAAAATTCGTAGACAAGCGAGTCATCCGTGAAATAGAGTCAAAAGATATAAAATAAGCGCACATTCGAACATTACTGAGGTTCGATTTGAATTTTATCTCTTGACTCTCTCTCACGGATGACTCGCTTGTCTGCGAATTTTCTCTTGTTTTCCTATTTGTATTGTTACTTGAAAAGGACCTGTAACGAATTGAATAAAATTTGTCGGTTAGGTTGACAATAAGCTCGCTGTTTTAATCTGATTTTAATTAGTGTCTCCTCAACATTGATATGTAAAAATACGATTTATTAATCGCGGTAATCGACATGTTTTTATGCGTCTACGTGAAATTAAATTCGACAAAATATCTTTCTCTCGTTTCCCTAGATCTCTCGATTCAATATTAATCTTCTCAATTTTTAATCTCTATCTACAAACGTGACACGTATGATACATGTCGTATTCAGAATGCACGAAATTAAAGAAGGAGAAGCCTATCAATATTCAGTGACAGATCGATTTTGTCAACGTTCTTTCGAGAACCTCTTCTGCTCGTGCTTCGTCATGTAATCTTAAGTCCCTCATCGAGTCTACGATCGAGTCGGCTGCGGTATCGCAGTTTCTCTCGCTGCGATTCACGCGCGATTTCCTTAATCGTTTCAGGGATAGCAGTCTCTAATGCGGGAACCGGTGGCATACCGGTTGGCATTGCTGTGGCGAGGCAGCGATTGCAACATCAAGAGACTTCGACGTCTATGCGCAATGTGTCCTTAAGTCATCACACGTCGCATCACGCGACAAGCTATCATCATTTCCAACCGGACAGCCTGGGTAAGTTTTTCTCACAAAGATATCACTGTTATGAAACTCTATTCCTGGACGCGATGAATAAAATCACGAGCGTTAATAAAGTCTCCTATTATGAGATAGGTGCCTGATATGAGACAGCGGAGTTTCTGCTAAATTATAGGCATAATCTATTCCACCATGAATTTATTGCCCTTGGAGTGAAATCTGTTTAGGAAAACTGATTGTTAGGTCGTGTAATCGTTGTAAAAAAAGGATTTGCGATTAAATTTGGACGTTGAAAACCTACTATCTCATATTAGACTCCTACCTCATAATAGAGGACTCTCCTCTATTGGAGCATTCTTACTCGTAAAATCCGACATTTAATAATGCGAACATAATACATCGTACTTAGAACCCGTACTAAGGCATGTAAGAAGTATGCTGCTCGCGAGCGTGAAAAGAGCAACGCAAAAAGCGCAAATGAAAGAACTATTGCCATTTCTTTACAATAATGTGAATTTTTCAGCGCTACTAATTGCGTTGCGATATAAAATTGTTTACAAGGTCTACGTTCCAGAAACCGTGCAATTATCGAGCTTTTTATCGAGATATGATATCAAGTATCTAAAGAAATATTGCGTGACCAAATATTAGCGTTAAACTTCGACAAGCCTGTACGCTTTTACAATATTTTTGTTTCAGTTACAAGATATCTCTTTCGAATGAGCATGTTCCTCCCCCCCCCCCCCTCCCCCCAGTTGCATGCAATACACGGTATCCAATTACGCAGCATGTTCGCGTAGCGCGATCGTTCGAGTCGCAACCCTAAAGCGAATATGAAAGACAGCTCGCTCAGATTTGCTGGCGCATATTCAAAAATTGGTCGCGCTTGAAAATCTTTAATATCGATTGCACGATACTTTTCCAATCCAACTTTTCTACGCTTATCGTTTCCAATAACGATGCCGAAGAACGAATCATTTGCCTGCTGCCGTTATCTCGTATCTTGAGCGTAATTTATTGCGAAAAAATATCGCTGCTATTACTGCGGCCTGCGGCTATTATTTTTATGACGATACTTCTTTGAAAATGACGCCTTCGACATTGATAGAGGATAATGCAGAGTTTTGCGTAGATCCCGAGTATAGACTTTCAATATCGGTAATCTTGAAAACTCTTATTAACATAAGAAAATTATCAACCTGCGAACTGAATCTTCGAGAGTTCTTACGCTTATCTGTTATCTTGAAATTTGCAGAAATCTCCCAATTTCGATATTCTAATCAATTTCATAATACGAATTTAAAAAGAGCTAAAATAGGTGTAAAATTCGAGCCATATCCAATGGACGTTGATCGAGTTGGGAACATTTCAAACTAATGCCCATCTAATTTGTAATTTGCACCTAATCTAATTTCTCTAATTGCTAGCATTTATTATCATTGGGTGGACAGGGAGCCGTTTCTGTAGCTTAGAAGTTCCGCTCCTTGCCACCGACGGCTACTCCCCTCGATCTCTGCCGATCTTTATAGCGGATGAATCCCGATGAACAAGCCTGGGTCCGTTGTAGGTTCCAGCACGGCCATGGCGGTAGGCGGCACTACCCTGGTGCACTGCGGAGGGCCTGGAGGGGAGGATCGTGCGGCCCACCTCGCTGCCATTCCCTCCGGGGCTCTCGCGCCCTCGCTGAGCCTGAATTCCAGTCTGAATTCCAGCCTGAATTCCACCCTGGGCAGCATCGGTGGCGGACCGGCAGCCGCGACCGATCCGGCCGCCGCTGCTTGGCCGCCCACACTGTGGCAGTATCATCCGGCTACGGCGGCCGCAGGTGGGTAATCCGCGGCCGAACATCGTTATAAGAATAATAGAGCGATATGCGAACCTTAAACCCGTCAAATTCAGTTCGAGAGACGAACGAAATCTACGATTCAACAAAATTTCACATCTCGGGATAGATACACAGTAAAAAAAAATCGTGTGTTGAAATGTTCAAATTTTCTTGCGCTACCAAGACCTGACTATTATTTCAATGTAAAATTAACATAAAACAGACGTGTTATTATTTTCGTAACATTTTTATGTGTTATATCTATGTTAACATAATAACTTGACACTTTATGTACATCATTTCGAGTTCTTTTAACACAACTATTTCACAAAATCAACCAAAACATGTAATATCGACCATTACTTAAAAATTATTTCAACTATTTTATGGTTAAAAGAACATAAACATAAATGTGAAGTATAGCGTTAATTAATTAACATTTATTATTTGTCAGAAAGTAGCACACACGATGAACGTTATTTCAACCGAAAATTTAGACTGGACTTTTTGGGACATGTGAAAAATGTTAACATTAACATTTTATTCTTTACTGTGTAGCTTATACTCCAGCATTCGAAAGTCGAGATGAGTGGAAATTACTAACGAATTAGAGATTTTACGCGAGAAATATCAAACTGCGAGAAAATTGGAGTATCGATCGTGATGGAACGGTCTAATTATACGGCACAAAATTCTGTCAATGATAATCAAATCATATTTGTCCTGTACTAATACTCCATGTACTTGATTATTGACCGAAGTCGAATTTAATGAAAGGGGGTAGCGCGCGCCATTGAGAAGCATATCATACGGGATATTTACCTCTGCGAACGTGAATTCGCATAATATTCATTTTTGACGGCATAAACGGTCGCATCAATGAACAAAGGTTCGAATTAATTAACATCTCGCAATGTATATGTATCATACGCGCATCTATCGGTACGAGGGATTAACCGGGCCACTAACGAGCGACCCTACACAATTTCGGATCGAATTCACCCCTCGCGCTGACCTCCTCGGCCTCGCTGACCGAGTGACATTTATCCAAATAACGCTGAACTACATTGCCCGGCTGCAGCTCGCGCGCGTATTTTCGCGCCGTGTAAATCATTCACTCATACCCGTTTAATTTAATTCGTCGCTCGATGGGCGTTCGAATAGAGACAAAAATTCACACGTTGAAGCATACAAGTCGCAAACCCAACCGATTTTACGCTCTTTCGGTGCATGTTTAAATAATAATACAGATAGGACCCGCTTCACAACGGAATTAAGTGACGACAAGATAGAGATATAAAATTAAACTAAATTCACAATGCACAATTAAATGAGATAACTTAAAAAATTTTCCCAAGTATGCACCGTTGCTGTTATTTTTAAATAATAAACTATTTTCCGTTTCACACGGAATTAAGTAGCGACAAGATATGAAATTAAACTAAATTAACAATGCACAATTAAATGAGATAGCTACCAAAATTGCCAAAATTTTCCCAAGTATGCACCGCTGCTGTTATTTTTAAATAATAAACCATTTTCCGTTTCACAACGGAATTAAGTAGCGACAAGGTATAAAATTAAACTAAATTCACAATGCACAGTTAAATGAGATAGCTTCCAAAATTGCCAAAATTATCCCAGGTATGCACTGCTGCTGTTATTTTCAAATAACAAACTATTTTTAACATTTAAGCACACGTTTTATTTAATTGCTTAGATAATTTTAAACATCTCTTCGTGTTCTTTGACCAAAAATGGAGATTGCGATATAAAAGATTGACTAAACAAAAAATATCTGAAAAAATGACTAAAATATTCTTTAACTTGATTGAGCTAGGGGGGAGGGGCAATAAGAGCCAAACGCTGGATGTCTAGTGCGGGTATAACAATATAATGTTTGTTATTTTTATTCAGGGTAATTAATGTCAAACGTTTCGACCATCGCATGTGGTCCTTTTCAATGACATGAGATAATTTACATGTATATGTTAGTTTCGGTCAAGTACGCATGTTAATAAGAGACTCTAACTATCGCTTTTTAGTAATTCTTGTTTTCGGTCCAGTACGCATGTTAATTAAAAACTCTAACCATCGCTTTTTTTTTTAATAATTCAATTGTAAGTAAGATAAACTTAACGCTTGTGTCGCTGAGTCCAGTGTTACGCATCGTTGTTTGATACAATGGTGACGTTCGCCTCGCAGTGCAGTGTGTAGCCTCCAAATACTTATTTAGGTATCAGGGCAGAATTTCTTGCATGCAAGTCCGGTCGTAATCGTCATCTTGAATGTGCGATATGTATCTCTCAGGCGAAGAAGTCAATATGATCTAAATAGTTCTGACAAATGTGTCTTTTTGTTCTTTCTTGTGTATGCGATTTTACAAAAAAAAAATATTCTTTAAGTTTTTATATCGTTATTATGCAGTAAAATGCGCGTCCGCGTACATTACAAACGTATAACCGATGCATGTATGAAACAATCGAATTGATGCACGGTTTCACGGAGGATGAGAAATTGATATTGCTTTTACAGCGATGCCAACGGAGCCGGTCGGCTTTCCGCAGATGGGTTCTGGGCTGCAAGGTGGATTACAGTTAGTCCGTGATCCAACGACCGGACACATTCTCCTTATTCACTCTGCGGGTAATGCGGAAATGCGGTTCTAAACGTATCCCTCTTAACGCGCACGCGGCGAAAATCAATTTTACATTTCTTTTCGACAGAACCAATGCAGCAGGCGCTCGTGTGGCCGAACTACTCGAGCCACAACAGCGCCGTTGCACCGCCGCCGCTCCTATTGCCACCGCCTCCACCCTCGATACAGCTTCTGGGTGATATCGGCGGCGCGCGATTAGTGCTGACTGAGAACAAAAGGAAACAACAAAGCACGCTGCCGATAGTAAAGATTGAGACGGAATGCAGCAACAGTCCAACAACCATAATCAGTACGTAAGACTAGTTTTCTCAACAGAGAAAGCTGAAGATGAAGAAAGAGCTTAATTTTTTTTAAGAGAAGCAAACATGGCGTGGTTTCTATGATTGTAGAAAAAAAGTAACTTCAAAAATATACGATTCGATACCGTGTTTTAGCACTCGAAATTCTATAAAGTTTCAAACGGTGACCCACGCTACCTAAAACGAAAGATTTTTCTGGAAATGCAACCGGGCCAGCATTTCATACGTTACATAATCGCATTAACCCTTTGAAGCATGGTGGTAACCCACGTTACCACCTCAACTTCTTTACTCGTTAGCTCTGGGTAGTGCCACGAATGAGTAAATTCTAAGAAAGGATCAAATTTCAATTTTGCATCCGCCATTCCGCGCGCGCTATGTTTTATATTCTATAAGAATCTTCAACTGGAATTTCGATTCCATGAGCTCTAATAATATATAAATAATGCTTCTTAGCATAGTTGAATTACAGCTGAATGATGTTATTCTTTTAAGTTGCGAATTCCGCCATCTTGAAACCGCCATTTCGAATTATGAAAATCCGATAACGGATTCGTAATCAGCGACTCCACAGTTTCACACAAAAAAAATGGCTCAATAGCAAAATGTATGCTTCAAAGGGTTAAGATGTTCTCTGATCTTCCGCAGCGTCCACCGAGTCGTCGAAAACCGCCTTGCAAACCATGACGTCCATGACGGGCGCTTTAGTACCGGACGCAGCCCTGGTTACCACGCTGCATTATTACCCTCAAGCGCCGGCGCTGGTGCAAATCAGCCAGGCCGAGCCTACTACTACGCACTGCAGGTCACAGGTAGGTAACATCACCTTTCACCAGGTTTAAACACCGTGCGCGCCTGTACCGAGGCGCGGTATGCAGCGCGCAACGCGAATTATTGCGCGACCGACCGGCCAGCCGGCCGGCCGGCGCAATATCTATGCAGATAGCGATGCAAATCGGGTTTGCCCATGATTAATACAATGTGCCACAACGTTTCCACATTATGCGAATGGCTGGACCGCGCCCGGAGTTTGACGTAATTACCGCTGCACTCCACCGCACCCGCCGCCCCCCTCCCACTCACGCTCGAAGGTCTTTCTCTTTTGGTTTTCCTCGTGTGAAACAAATCTAACGATATCTTGGGATATGCGCGGGACAGTAGGTCTTAATTTTTACAAAATTAGAGAGCGCTGTCATAAAAGTGCATACTCTGAGAAAAATGTCCGATTAATCGGATAAATTTCGTCGGATGTATCCATAATTTCATTGGAAAACGTAATCGGAAAAATTAACCGTCGGAAACACTATTTAATTGGTTTATCCGATGGGAATTTTTCTCAGTGTATAAAAAGACGTTCTCTTTACTGTATTATAATACCTTCACGCACGAGAAATTAGAGAAAACTTTAACAGTAATAAAAGAAAGGGAGAAAATCTTAAAATCTAAAAACAAAATTTTCGCAAAGGCCACGTCGCCGGTTTCGTGTCTGACACCACCCCCGGAAATACCGGTGGCGGTTCATGCGATCGAGCCATCGTCATTCGGGGTTCAGGACGCCTCAAATCAAACCGACGCGCCCGAGGATACTGAAGAAAAGCAGGAAGCTCTCGTGAAGCAGGAGCAGAATCTGAGTCCCTGTCAAGTCGCGCCTCAATCTACGGGGACGAATCTAGCCGCCGCCAATTTCGAGATTGTACCATCACCGACGGAGAGGATCTGCAACGTCGTCAGAATCACGACAACTACGACTACGGTAAACCCGACCGTATGCGGAATCGTAGCCAAGGTGGACAAGGCGGAGAACACGATCATCAACATGGCCGATTGCGCCAAGTACTCGGCGAAAGATGGAAGAGCTCCCGTGAAGGCGATTGAGCACGATACTCGTGTCGACGAGGAAGTTTGCAAAGATGACAAGATGATGCCTATCTGCAGCAGGGGCAGCAGGCTCGGTGCTAGGATCATCGAGATTACCGAAGAGAACTGTGATAGCTTCCATGAGAATCTGGAGTTCTTCGCAAGGAGAAGAGACATCGGTGCCGATCAACGTGATCATCGAGATGATTATTCTAAGGACGAGGAGAAGGCTCTCGTGCAAGAGCCTAGTACCGAGGAAAAGGAGGTGAGCTGTCATTATTTAAAGTAACATAATTCTCTTGTAACTTTTTTCTGGTACGGTATCTAGAATTGTTTTGTTTTTCAGGTCGAATCGAAGCTCGATGCCTCGGACAACATTGAAATTCGCCGTCAAACATGCCCTAAAATACTAGAACCGCCAATCGTCAATGAAACAAAGTCAAACATTGCCGATTCGACAGAGTCGTCAAGAGTCAATTGCGAGAGCTGCGACAAAAACCGAAATACCTCAACCAGCGAAACCCGGCCTCAAATTACAGTTAAGTCTTTCGACATGCCTAATATCGATTGCGACGATCAAGAGGTGCAACAAGTAGCTATCAAACAAGAGGCCGATGACAGTTGCTACGAGGTATGCTACGACTCGTCTCAATGCGAGCCAACGTCTACTAGCGAGAAATCCAGATCTAGCTGCGAGAAATCGTCGCAGGAAGCAACGAAAAGGCACTCGGTGGAGAAGACTCACCATCCGGGTATCGAGAACGTGGTGGAAAAACTGAAGAAAAATGCGGCGGCTCTGCAGGAAGCCGCGCTGCCTAACACGCAAAAAATCGAGGAATCCGTGGAAAGATCGAACGTCGAGAATGTTAAGCCGCGGAGATATTCCGAAACGATACCGAAGAAGATGCATCTTTTAAGATCGTGCCAAAACTCGTCGGAGAGCACAATCGACACGGAGATCTCTTCCTCGCAAACCGCGATGTCGGAGCAACATATTAATGACCAATCGGGACGGCATTCGCCTCAAAACGACAGGCACTTGGCCACTAGCGACATGTCCGGCGAGTACCTGCTTAACGAGAACAATAACGACAGCAGAAGCAACAACAATAATATCAAGGCGCTCGAGGAGAAGAAACTGCTAGCGAAAAATGAGAAGAATGTCTCCCATGATATTATTACCGCTTACGTTAAGCCTAAGACTGTTTGGCGATGCGAGGTACAGCCACTCGGGAAGCCCAACGTAACTCGTAAATCCGATCTCGTCGAAGACGACGCATCTTCGGAGGCAAAATCTAGAATACCGAAGCAAAAGCCAGCCATTGATGTGAGCGGTCTTGAATTGCTGTCGAATAGCATTGAACAATTAGAACAACGAGTCGGCCAACCGGAACATCTGCAACTAGACACGGACGTCGAGAAGTCACCTGTTAAAAGCAAACTTATAAGTCAACAGAGCGAGAGCAATAATAACAACGTCGGCAGTCCTCTTGGATTGCTCTGTGCACTGGCCGAACAGATTATGGAGGTGGGCGATAAGGTACCCCGAAAATTAAACCTCGAAAGCTCGGAAGAGATCTCGCACGCCGGTAGATTACTGTTGAATCTGGGCAGAAGCGGCTCTCTAGAAAAAGACGAAAACAAAAGGATATATACTGAAGCTGACGATCGCCGTTCCAAACGATTCAAGAGCACCGATTGCGAAGAAGAAACGAAGAATGAGTCGCTGAAGCATCACGAGAAAGATATCGAAGAACGGACGATAGAAGTTAACGGGGGAAAACAAGAAAATGCTCTGAATGTCAATAATTTCTCTGAGAAAGAAATTAATAAAATCACTGATAAAAAAACTATCGACTCAGAAGAACAACCCCTTAATAGAGCCGATGAAGATTGTTATTCAACTAACACAAAGGCTGTTCAAAACGTTCAAGTTCTCTCGGATAAAACACCTGATAATCTGCAAAGTAATGACGCGCTTTACGATACGATCGTAAAAGAGGACAACCTGTCGGATTCGGAGGGCGAAATATTCGAGTCAAAAGTTCTGTCTGAACAGCCAACGAGCTGTGAAATTAGAAATAACAAGCGTAAAATATCCGTCGAAGAGAGAGACACCCACGACTACAAAAACGCTCGAACAAAGTTAGAGGCGAAGAAGTTCATAGCCAGGAAAGGAAATCGCGATAACGAGGACGACTGGCCAAGCATGAACGCCACAGAACTTGACATGAGAGTCAAGATGGCCGACATTCAGAGACAATACAGAGAAAAACAGAAGGAGCTTTCCAAGTTGATTCCTAAGAAGGATGACAAGAAGAACTCTGGCAGACCGCGAAAAAAGAGTCATTCTTCCACTAGGTAAGTGTAAATCGAAATCAACAATTACGTAACATACAGACAACTTTTTTTAAATACGTAATCTATTTTGAGACACGAAACATAAAATAGCAATTATCTTTTTAATAAGTCTGACAAATGTATACGCGAGAACGAACTTCGTCTTCAAAAAATGGACTAAATTAGAACGTGAATGAATTTTACATGTTAATTTTGATTCAATTCGAATAATCTGATTATCAAACATTTTTCCAGTTCTGATCATGGGATGATATCATCGCCACCCGCGCTAGATCTTGTGACCTCTCCGTCGCCCTCGAGATCACCAGAACCTGACGCACCTTCACCGTTAGCCTCAGCTGTTCTGACCATGCCGAAGTGCAACGTAAATCTCGTGAAACTTAGCGAGCCCAGAAGCCATATAAAACTTTTGGATAGTATACCGAGTATTCCGATACCAGTACCGCCTGTGACATCGCCGATCCCAGTATTACCTGGTTCCAGCAAAGCAACTCCGGAGGATGACGAGAAAAGTACGGGAACGGTACGTAGAATTTTATTCATTAACGTATTAATGTTTTCATTCGTTCGTTTACTGCTGTTCAAATGTCACTAATACGGTGTAAAAATACGGAAATATAGAAATTTTAGAAATGTGATTCCTTATTGGTTTATTTTTCTTTTCCATCTTTAGGTGGGTTATGACACGTCGTCGCCAGCACCGACCGTCGCAAGTTCGACTTCCGCTTCGAAAAAGAGGAAAGTGGGACGACCGCGAAAACTCACGTGCACCTCAGGTAGCGTTAGACATTTGACGGAAACAATCGTCGCTAAAAAACCTAAGAGTAAGAGTTCTCTAGTGGGTTACGTACTATCCTCGAAGAGCAGACACTTACAAACGAAGGTAACTTCTTAACATTCATCTCTTAAAAATTCCTGAATATCTGCCATATGTTATTGAGTTTAATAAGTACAATGCTATTTTCACATTTTCAGCAATGCATAAATAATAAAACCGGCTACACTCCGTTGCCGTTCAAAACGAGAGTCTCTTCCCCGAAGCCACAAACTAAGGTGCAAAAAGTTACGAAAATGAAGGCAAAGCCGGCAAAGCAAACTCCGCTGCACAACAAAAACGTGATCAGCTCGATTATCGCCGAAAAAGCGAAACTAAGTCAAGAGGTAAAGCTTGAAAAGCATAGCGGTAAAATAAAACCGAAGCTCAAGGCGGAGGTAAAGGTGAAAAATTGGGAGGATGATGAAACTGACATGGTACAGCCCGAAAACGTTCCAGCTGTAGAACCGTTAATTCAAAAACCTGTCAAGGTAATAAAATCAATTTACACTTTGTCACGAAGAAACAACTTTGCGAATAAATAATTTAACAACAACTTTATAGAGTTTTTAGTTTAAAGATACTTAAAAAATTATTACATTTTATACAAAAAAGATTATTATCTTGTTTAAAAAAAAATTAAAAGAAATAATTGAAATGGCAATTTTATCTTATAAATTCTTGACGCGAATATTAAATAAAATCGCACTTTCAACATTTAACAATTTACGCCTCAATGTACCACATACTTGTCAGATAGGACCAAGAAAATCAGTACAAGAAATAAAAATACAACGTTTCTTAATCACGTAACTTCACTTATGTGTCAGGAGGCGTCGATCGAACCTGCGGAACAGTCGGAGAAAGAGCCGGAAAGATCACGACACGAGAAGTCGAAGAAGAAGAAACGGAAATCTAGTTCGTCGCAGTCGCCGAATCGTGACAAGGAGTCTAAGCGGCGTAAATCTCTGGAGTGCAAACAATGTGCCAAGGCTGCTGCGAAGACTTCCGAGAGCATTGTCAACCGGTGCAAGTTGACGTCCGCTCATCTGGCCATCGATCAGCTGCGAGTTCTCATGGCGATAGGCGGTCTCTTTTATGCGGGCAGGTTGAGCGCTGTGCGAGCGCCTGACGTTTATGCCATAACGTTGGATGGCGAACGCGGAAACAGACCGCATATTCACTCTAGAGAAGAGATCCTGAAAGACGCGGTAGGCTGGACTATCGAAACCAATACTGTCAATGATATCGACTTATTTTAACTCGTTATCTTGTAACATATGAGAATACATATGAGCCAAACGAGGTAAATACGAGACGCGCATTTTCAAAATTTTATTCTTCTTTCATGGCATGAGAGAGGAATATATTATCAGCTAAGTCTAAAATCAAGATGGCTCTTAAGACGCACGATTCTTCTTGTTTTAATTCAAGAAAGTGCGTATCTTTGCTCACGTATTTTCCCGATAATCAGTTGATAAGTTAAATGCAGAAGAATTGACAAAAAATAATAATTCTTATAAAAGAAAGAAAACATGAAATGCCTATAAGATAATTCAAGGGTAAAAATATATTTTATCGCGTAGATCGTGGAGGTATGTCCGACTTCGACGAAAGAGCTACCACCCGGTACGAGGCTGTGCGCGTATTGGAGCCAACAGTATAGATGTTTGTATCCGGGAACTTCCGTGAAACCTATGGTACCTGATCCGCAACACGACGAGAAATTCGTCACTGTGGAGTTCGACGATGGAGACAGCGGTTTAATTGTCCTGGATGACATCAGACTTTTACAACCTAATTATCCTGTCGTAGGCACGTATCTCGCATACACGAATCTTTATGTCGGTCAAATCAGGACTTAGTCTTGACAACAAAATCGCATTTATTTCTCATTTTTACTTTTATCTACAGTGTACGATCCAAATCCTTTGCTCTCATTGGGCAAACGACGACGACAAACATCGACTTCGGAGGACAAGCGTTCCTTAAGCAATCAGACCGTTTCAAGCAGTCAAAACGTTCCGTCGACATCTCGGAATGTAACAGCTAGCAACAGCTTCGCCACGTGTTCCTACGTTTCTAACGTGGAATTGATAAACGCCAACGAATGTGCCGAGGCGGAGACCGAGACAAATGTCGAGACGAGCAGTACGAGCGGTACGGAGTACCGCAAGAAGAAGCACATGAAGAAGATAAAAAAGAATAGGAAGCTACTCGAGGCACAAGAGGGCAAGAAGAAACACAGAAAACATAGGTCCTGCAAAGAGCATCGAAGGCATAAGCACAGAAAGCATCGAAAGCACAAACATAGACATCATGGTAGCATTGGCGACGCGAACAGTGTAAGGTATGTGTCGTCATAATCTGTTGTATATCTAACTTTGCATTGCAAACTATTGAAGATAAAGAAAGTTTCGTTCATAATAACGCGAGCTATACGTGCAAGGAGTAAAATTAATAGTTTAGTATAATAATAACAATTATAATTTATAAGCTTCACCTTAGAGATCGTATTTAAAGTAAACGTTACAAATTAATGAGCTTTTCTAAATCCTTATCAGAAATATTGAAATGTTTCTCAGCAATGCGGAGAACAGCTGGGAGCAGAGGAATGAGGAAGAAGCGGTTACAAATTTGCCGAATACAAGTATTCCCGCTGTCGAGGAAACGAGGTTGTCCGAGGAGGAAGATGAAACCGAGGAAACGTTAGTAACTGCTCAGAAAGACAACGAAACTCAAATGGAGCTTGAAGAACCGTCAGAGTCAGTTGAAAAGGACGATAATGTTCAGACGGTGTCAGAATCTGCAGAGCCCATTCAACAGACTCAGGCAGAGTCTGAGAAAGAAGAACCTACCCAGCAGATAGAATCTGAAGAACCGTTACAACCTGATAAAGTTTGCGAAGAGACTCAAGCGGAGTCGGAAAAATTGTCAGAAGATGTTCAGACAAAGAACGAGGACGAGGCGCCTGAGGAATCGCAAGAACCAATCGAGAAGAAGCCGAAGGTACAGCAGAAGGCGTCGACTAATCGCGCTTCGACGAATCGTACCACGGCCAATCGCACTTGTACGAGCCAAGCCTCAACAAATTCGGCAGTTCGCGGCACCACGAGCCGCGCCTCGGCGAATCGCATGACAAATCGCACAACGACAAATCGCGCCTTGACGAGAAACGCTTCGACGGCGCAAGCCACGACGAGTTGCGGCCCCACGAGTCGCGTCTCGAAAACTCGCGTCTCCAATCCGACAACTGTGCCCGCCAACCCGTCGAATCCCGTCGAGACTCCCAGCCCGATAGCACGCATGTTGCCTAATAAACGCCATTGGAAGTGGGCGAGCAGCAGTCGCGTATCTGGCGGAAACCAATATTTCACAGCCATACAGCGCGGCAGAGAAACGATAGAGATAGGCGACAGCGTGTTATTCTATTCCTATCGGAAACCTCACGAGAAACCTTACATCGGTAAGATTGTGTCGTTGTGGCTGAACCAGAAATTAGAGATGAGAGTCAGATCCCAATGGTTCTACCGTCCCGAGGAGCTACAACCGCCTTGCAGCCTAAACCCTCCGGTAATTTTTTAATATATATTTAAAGAAGGTAGACTATCACATAAATTCACTTTTGCATTGTTAAATAAATTTTCCTACATACAAGAAACATATATTTATACGATTTTCTAATATCATAACGCAATATGGCGAGTGATATTGAAAAATGGAAGTATTCCTAAAAGTTGAACTCAACGTACAATTGTCAAAGTTGATTGAGTATTAAAGACATCGGCAAGAAATAATCGGACTGTTGTTCTTGTGTGTCAGCGAATTCGAATAAAAGCAAATGATAATTTGTTTATTCACAGGGCGGCCTGTTTGCATCGAAGCACAGCGATTCGAACGACGTGCAAACGATTTCCCATAAAGTAATGGTGCTATCACTTGAAAAGTATAATGAGATACTACAAGCGTCGCACAGACATCAAAAGGGTTACGAGGATAACGATCGTTATTACTACGACGCCGGCACTTATACGCATCCAACGGTAACTTATGCACCCGGCGTTACGGCTGTTATAAATGAATGAGAACAGCTTAAGCTGACGATTAAGTTAGCCGGAATTACTTAATCGTGGTCAGCTAACAACTTTGCGAAATTTTCGATGCGACAACCGTTTAAAATGAACGGCTCTCTTTTTTTGCGGAGGAAGACAAACTTGGGAAGCTTATAGTTAATATGCTGATAGAAACGTAGGCGATACGTTACACGCAAGAGATGAAATTGTTTCTCCACGTCCTTATTACGTCTTTTTATTGAGAGAGCCTCGCTCATCAAGTCTACAAGGCACAAGCATTACTTCACTCGCGAGCTACTTAACAAAACGATAGTTCTTCAGAATAAAAAAGAACCTGTTTACCATCCGATAGCGTTGGATTTATTTTATCAGAATCGTGCGATCTTAATTTCTACGTTGACTAATAAGATAGCATTATTTTATCTATTTCGTTTTTCCATCGCATTTTTTACGAAAATGCTCTATCGTCGTGTACGTGACACACGATTAAATATTTCATCGATCGGCTCAGATCGTAAAAAAAAAGCAACATACTGTCGTTGAACGCCCACGCGACCTAAAATGATGTAGATTGGTGAACTTCGTAGCCTGCAATTTTTAACCCCCATAACAGGCAATACTTGTGCCTTGTTCAAAAATTCCTCCCATTGAAATACGATCCGACTGCCGTTCGGTTTCTGTGAATTTCCGAATTGTAATTACGCTTACATTTTGCTAGCAGGAGAGAGAGAGAGAGAGAGAGAGAGAGAGAGAGAGAGAGAGAGAGAGAGAATGAGAGAGAATGAGAGAACGCGAGAGATGGATCGATGCAATAATCACACTAAGTGGCATTAGACGCGCGGAAGTGATCGAGATAAAAAGTTATTTGCTGTACATATTGTAAATATGATTTTAAGAACGTGTGTCTAACATTTGCGTGCACACAACTCGTTGATGTAAATCGCGTTACAAAAGCGGTAGATTCAAGTTTATACAGCTTAAGTTTTAAGTCGTAAGTTAATGACCCGAGTAACAATAACGTTTCGATATTTAAATAACAAAAAAAAAACAAAAAGGGAAGTACACACTATTTTCATGTTCGGAGAGTCAAATTTTTTTAACGGTCAATAAAACGTACGATAAATAATGATAATGTAACTTCGCTAAAAGACGAGATGAAGATAAAGATGGTATTCGAGTCATTCTTAGGGATACAGTTTTTAGAGAATTTCACTCGATTTGTCGTAGTAGATCGATGACGAACACGACACGTCGTGTTTTTACTTCGCTAATCGATATATCCTCTAATGCGTTTATAGAATAGACATTTGCATACTTTGCGATGCAGTCAGATGCTTTGACCTGAAATATCGCGGATGTAACGAGCAATAAAGAATTAATCCCATCAAAGCTCGCAAGAAAATCAATTATTTAAATAACAAGCTGTTCGCTGAGTTTGAGATAGCGCCCGAGGGATATATAAAGCTGCTACAACGACAGAAATAAAAACGTTAACGCCAAATTCAATGAGGAAAGAACCAGATAAATTTTCCTAATGAAGGTTAACGAGATGTGAAAGATGTTAAAATGCAAATTTACGGTGCATCGGATAACGTAGCGATAAGCTTCCGTCAAAACTGTAGTAGAGATAAAAGATGACCGCTATCTCTTTTACTGAGAGATTAAAATGATTCGACGATATCAATTCGTATTAGAGCTTATGTAAATTTGACTCGCACGACTCGGGCCTAATGATCGAAAATGTACTTATAAAGAGAGCTCGTGACGCGCGACTTATTGACCCGTTTTATACTTTGCGAATAAAAAGATCAATTCTAAGTGGATGTGTAAGAATGTTTCTTCAACATAAAACGCAAAGTTATGATATATCGTTGCTCCCGGAGACGCGCAACATTATATTTAATCCAATATTTATAGAGTATGAATGTTATTGAACTTAGAGTCGCGTGTCACGTGCTATCTTTGTTAAATAAAAATACCACTCGCTCCTTGTATAATTTTCGCTTACGTGTTGATATGTCAATTAGCTTGATAGTATTTGTTTTCCCCATTTCCTGTAATAATGCAGAAAGAAATTCTGATACGGACGTAGTGATACGAAACAAGGTGCTATATCGAGAGTTAAGTTTTTTTTCATGAAAATGAATATTTAATCGAGGAAACTTAAAAAAAATATCGTTCTTTTAGTTTTTAATTTTTAACAACGGACCGGGAAAATTAGTTTATTCAAAAGGATAATTTTTTATGACGCCCATTTATCTATTTAAATGCAATGCGTTACGTTCAGCAATGAATGCGGCAAGTTTGCGTCTTCAGTGGTTAGAGATACATAATCATCGTAACATATTAACCCTTCTCTAATATTGTGACATTTTTTTTATACATCGAAGACTATTAAAAGAATTGAATCGTGGTCAACATTGGTGGGGCAAGCTTGCTCCATTAAAAATACGAAACAAAAAATGTTCGCTAAGTTAAAGAGAACTAATAATGTTAATTAACATTCACCAGACGATGTAAAATTTGACATTCTTTATATATTATTATATTTATTCGAGTCGCCCTCGGAGCATTTGTCAGTTACTTTTGAGATTACTCGCGTGAGAATATACAACCGAGTTAGAGCAGAGTACAATTTCCCTAATAATAATAATAATAGAATCGCGTTGCAAGACCAACGCTTCGATCGTAGTTTCCCATCTTCTCTATTCCCGGAATGTTGGATTTTGCTGAGGTAGATTATCGGGATAGTCAAAACTACAGACTCTTTTATAGATATAATTTTTAGAATATTTTATGTGAGAACAAAATTTTGGTGTTATAGATACGATAAACGATCCTTCGGGCAGTTGATCGATTATCCAGAAAAAGTAAAATTTATATACAAAGTTAACGGAATCATAAATCTTTTTATCGTGACAGCGTAACATTTTTACTACGTAAGGTTTACGAGAGATTTAAACATTAATGGACAATTGTACGATCGACTTCCCGAAGGATTGCAGTTTTTCCGAAAAACTATAACGATTTCATCGAAATTCCGAGAGTGGTCCGGCGAGGTCTTATCGCATTTTCTTCAATGAAACCTGCACAATACTGAGGAAATTTTTGAACATTGCTAGAGCGTATACTATAATACTAGCGTAGAGCCTTTCGAAAATTGAACTGGTAGGCGTGTGAAGTACAAACTGAAGACACAATAAATACGCGCGTGAGTGATGCGATAATCAAGAAACCGAAAAAAAAAGGGATTAAGAGGTACTTATATGCGTAAAATGGTAAATTTGTTTTTGTGTAAATATACCTATAGGATGCTCCGTTGTGTACATATGGCGCATTGAGACTGCGCGGCGTTTCACGCCGCGTCGCTCTCAAAGATATTTTTGACGATCGAATTGATCCATTGTATAGAACACACGACTCAATCATGTAGTAGGTACGTAAAAATATAAATACGTGTGTATAATATATAGTATTTTTTCATGAGGATCGCAACAAGACGACGACGAGTCGGCCAGGCTTTTTAAATATAAAGAAGGAGATCTGCCGTTGAAGATGCATCAGTAAGCTTCCGTGAGTGGTTACTGAATATCTAGACAGTGTTGGGCGGACGTAATCAGGCCTTGTCGAAAGCTTCTAAAGAACGTTAGCCCTAAGAACACCGAGATCGCACGGCGGCCAGCGGCGCTCGAGCTTTTCATCTCGACTTTCGTATCAATAAAAATGTCACGGAGTAAACTGTACAATTATTTTCTATCTCGTAAAAAATATACGCTTAAAAATGTGTGGTCGCAGTACGCATATTTAGAAGCGTATACATCGCGGATTTGCATACGGTCGATACTATGGCTACTACGTGTCGCCGAGTAACCACCCTTCGCAGTAACTATAGTCGTCAGATAAAAATAAAAAGATCCTGAAACAGCAGCTGTGCAAAGTGGCCGCCTTTCTCCGCTTGGTAAGAGCATGTAACCGATAAGGAGCTCGGTGTTCTCGGGGGGGGGCTAAGCATGGATGATGGTGGTGAATTATACGGTACCTTCTCTGCGCAAAGAACGCGCAACGAGTCGCAATCTTTCTACACGCTTATAGTAATATTATAGCGCCGTTATAATATTTTATTAATTACCATTAACCGCGACGACATAGCACTATGCGAAATACATATTTACGTACATATATATATTTCGTAGAGTGCTATACACACACACACACCCGTTATATATTCTGAATATTATATATTTTTACTGTGTAATTATAATAAATTGCTATACAATTACTAATTCAATCCTGAACGCGTAATTCACCCATACAAGTTAACGATAAACGGGTCAACATTCGATCCGTCCGAAATTGTCATGAAAATGGAAATCTGTCCATCAGCTGGTCTGGCTTTTCGACGTGCCACTTTTGGACCACTGCTGCATCCACGAGCGTTACGAGATTAGCATTCGCTTTTCGAGGTTTTTGTAAATATGTATATTTAGATCGCAAATAGAGAGAGAAAGAGAGAGAGAGAGAGAGAGAGAGAGAAAATTAGAATGAAATGTCGATGTCTTCGATGTTCGATCGTTCTTTCTATACGACGCGAGATTAATTCGTCGATAAAACCCTCCGCTTCTCCCTATATCTTTCAGAAAACGGGGAGACAAATAAATATTAATAAATCTCTAAATATCGATATTCCGCGTTCCACTTATCTCAGATTTTGCGTGGAAGAGAGCAGTGATGGGAATCCAAATGATACGAACGTTTTCGAGAATTTTTTTATCGCCGACAAAGTATAAGCAATACGTATTCTAGTAAGAATCGGAGAATCTGCATCGAGGATTGCCTATCTAGGATATAAAAACTGCAATGAGTTATGTTCTACACGTGATATTATTAATGTATTTTAATTTCGCGATGACTCCTATTTCACTGATTGTGAACAGTAAAACTCGTGTGATCGTGCAAGTTTTGAGAATTACAATATGCAATTCGTGCTTTATCCCATTACTTTTTAATGTCTTTTATAATTTTCTACTTTTAAAAAAGCAAATTCCTGAATTTTTACACACGTATATCCTTTCAATATTTTTGTTTGCAAAAAACAATTTTTGTACACATTTACCGGAGTATTTCCTTCGGTAAATAAGAGCAAAGAAATTTCGCTCCCCTTTATTCATACGACTCAATTATCGCTCGAACTTTCTGGCCAAGGTTGCTGGAACAGGGAGTGCATCCGTTCCGAGCAAGTCTGATTTATCTGGCACGTAGCTGACCGAAGTTTGCACATACACGTCTTGCTCCGTAAACGAACTTCGAGATTAAGTCTTTTCGTTCACGTTCTACCAATCAATAGATAGGCGGTAAGTATTTCGAAAATTTTCCTCAATTTTATATCCTCCCGTTAAATACGCGATTAATTGAATTCCCATCACTGGCTAGTCGTCCAGCAACAGCGGCAACGGCAGCAGCAGTAGCAGTAACAGCAGCAGCAGAAGCAGCATCTTGTATAAACACGAATTTTACGGTAGAACGGAAAGGCGAATGAATTTTAATAACACGCCACGGAATAAAAGGAAGAAAACGACGAATCGATTCGAAGTGGCTTTATTTTTCGCGCACACGCGCGCGCGAGGAGACAAAGACGGCATTTTAGATCTATAAAAAGATTTCAGATTGATTATATTTTTAAAAGTAACACGTTTGATATATAACAAAAGGTATTTCGAGCGACACATGCAAAACTTTCAGTGGAGATGCGAAAAAAGATAAAAGGAGAGAGAAAGACGTGAAGGAGCAACGTGTCTCCTCCTATCTTGTACTTTCAGAAACGTGCCTGTATGTGGGCGGTTTGATAGTCACTAAGGACGACGTGTGTCGAGATAAGAATTTAGGACGCGAGATTTCTTCTATTTGTGCGCTTCTAGGGACGAGAGACACGTAGTTATCGTGTACCGATTGTCTTTAATATTAATGACCGATTAATTTGTTCGCTACTCATCAATTCACTCGCTATTCCGAATCTATGGTCGTGATAACGCACATGAGATGCAAAGATATACGCATACAGACACATGCATAAACAGATTTGTACATACACCTGTATGATTAATTATAAGATTGTAGAGAGGTCAGGTGACTTTCGACTGGAGAATTTGGTTAAGAGCGAGACTAATGTCACACGCAGACACACTCTTCTTTATTTCTGTCATATCGATATTTGGTCGATAATAAAGTACATATTAGACAAGAGAATAAAAACCCAGTATCTGTCAATTTTCCGTCCTTATATGCATGGCCCTATCCACTTATTCATACCGCTTTGACCCGAGGGGGAAACCGCTGAGCGTATTGCGGTGTACAGATTTGCGGCATTACTGGGCATTACTAGGCATTTTTTTGGTATTAGTTTGGACATTATAAAGATAAAATAAGATCAAATAGGATAATAAGATAAAGTAATGCCCACTGGGCATTAGTGGGCATTGGTGTACAAGATTTTGGTCAGCGGTTTCCCCCTCGCTTTGACCCGAGAGGGAAACCGCTGAGGGCATTGTGGTGTACAGATTTGCGGCACTACTGAGCATTACTAGGCACTTTTTGGGCATTAGTTTGGGCATTAGGCCTTGCTGGGGCATTATAAAGATTAAATAAGATAAAGTAATGCCCACTGGACATTAGTGGGCATTGGTGTACAAGATTTTGGTCAGCGGTTTCGCTGACTAAACTGGTCCCAAACTTTTCCTATGAAATTATATTACAACACGAGGAGGATTAATTTTAATAGAACAATAATAATTTTACTTCACTTTAGTAATAAAAACTACTGGATGTCCAGCAGTGAATGTATTTTTTTTATCATTGATAAAAATCTTATTGACGTAATAATCCGAGTTATTTTTCGCAACTTTATTTCTACCCTAGTGTTACTTTCCGATTTATTCGAACATTATATTTATAATGTGAATGCAAAATTTAGTAATAATCCTGGAATCATTGCTATTGAAAATTAATTAATCGTTCGATAGATAAGCAAGCCGAACGGTAGTAAGTGAGAGAGTTATTGGAATAAGTAGCGGAAGAGAAATTACAACCCTCCTTTCTTTACTGCGCGCTGCGTGATAAAGAAAAAGAACGACCCATAACGAGAGCCATTTTCAAGCACTGCTTCCAATATGTCCAGGATGGAAACGACCATAGCGCTCTAATCGAGCTTGTCCTACTTTCTCGCACCTTCTGGACCTTTTGTACTGTAAACGTTACTGCCATAATAAAAAGTTACGTACGCTGCCGTGGAAACGCGTTAAAAGACAATCGTGTATTTATACGAAATTACTTTAACCAAATTCTATTAACTCGTTAATGAAAGTCAATTGAAAACAGATTGGCAATAATTTTATTAACTGAAAATAATATTACGCAAGAAATATTTGCTCTCGAAGTTATAATCGAATATGTTATTGGGCGTAATTAACGGACATCTGTTTCCAATTCTGTTTGACTAATTTCTTGAATTATAAAGTGCAGATGAAACTTATATAAGTCGCTAAAAGTGAGGTTTGCGCTCGAGATGATTGGGAGATATAATTAACATTATGAAAATATGTTGCTCTAATTATTTCTAAAGAGATGGTGAATTCGTTTCACAGCAGCAAATCGACGTGGGGACAGAAAATTAACGCAGTGACAAAGATTGTCCTAATTAGAAGCTCATGAATCCAAACGACCAATAACTGCTCGGCGTTCGCTAACTGTTATACGGTTCACCTCAGTTTTCGTGCACGTGTAAAACAAACTGGTCGTATTGTAGCGCGATGCGTTCATCCTTGAATGCGACGAAAAGCGACTTCCGACAGGAGACGCGAGTGGCAATTAAAAATTCAGAAACGCTCGCACTTTTATTCATCCACGTATTATCGACGTGTGTAATTAAAGTCTGTCACGCGCGGCGCGCGAATTCACGATAATTATCTCCCGCGAGATTAGTCTGCCGAACACCCGGGAGTCAGAAAATGATGTTTCATTTTCGCAGAGTTTTGTTTTGTACCGTCGTGAAAACGGGATTACATCGCGATCGAATTAAAAGTACTCTTCGGCTTTTCGTCTCAGCAGTGGAGTTCAATTTCATGCGAAAACACGAATACGTTATGCGACTCTCGCGTATCTCGAATCGCCGCCAATGAAGCGATCGCCGCGCGTGTGACCCCCTATTCTCATCAGCACCGACCTTCCCCGGCGGCGACTGATATAGAAAGCTATTGCAACAAATTGGATTTTAATTTAACTCGGTTACAAACATGTTCGCGCGCACACGCGGCGCGGATTGGACCGCCGCCAGATAATCGAGAGCTTAAATGGAGTTCGAATGGAAAACCGATTGTTCTTTGCAGGCCACGGCGGAGCCCACTTTGACATCCGTCCGTGTCGGCCGTTGTTTCGTTTCGTACTTACGTTAAAAAGCGCATCGGCAAATTGTCCTCTGACCCAGGAGCGAGATGTAACGCGCGCGATCGCGAACCCTCGTTTAATTTAATAAGTGTCATCACTGTGCTCGCGCGCGCGTACAATATATCAATTAACTACAAGTTCTCGAAGAAGCTAGTGTGGAAAATCAATTTATTCTTTCGTTCCTTACCTATCGTCGAATTTTGTTCTTATCATTTCGCGCGCGATCGCGATTAAACGCTGCAATCGCGTCACTCGATGGTGTCCGCAATTTTTTCGTCCAATTGAATTTTTCCATTGCGGATCGCGACAAACGCGCTTAACGCTCGCAAGAATGATGTATCCACTATATTTAGTTGGCTACTAAACCGGATGACGCTTCTTGTTGCGGCGCATATTGTGCCGCAGCGTGACAGATGACACGGATGGAGCGTCGACAATCGATTAATTTGCCCGCTCGACCACCGGCTACATCCACTTACATCCGACATTCGTTCGCGCCGCGACGCGACGCATGTATCGGCTAATCAGCGCCGATTTGTTTCGCCGATCGGAACGGCAGTATCCGCGAGCGGATCGTCGCGTTGTTTACAACCGTAGCATGATTAAATAGAGAGCGCACGATAAATATTCCTTCCTATCCGCGTATATGCTGCCGCAAATATTAAACCAAGACTCTCCCGGAGATTCCATTAAATGTCTTTCAACATCCAAAAATATTATTTATTTCACGTAACATTAACATTAAGTAAACAGCACACAAGAATGGCCAATGCGAGTCTAAAGCACGCTGATGGAAAAATATCTACACTGAAAAAAATTTCTGGTTGAATATGGACGAATCAGATAATTCCTTTAGGATTTACCAGAATTCCTTTAGGATTTACCAGAATTTCTGTAGGATTACAGGAATTCTGGTAAATCCTAAAGGAATTCTGGTAAATCCTAAAGGAATTATCTGATTCGTCCATATTCAACCAGAAATTTTTTTCAGTGTAGTATTTGAAACTATAATTGCATAGTAAAATAATTGTCGTCAGGAATATAATTTTTATAATAATTATTACATTAATATCAGTAATAGCAACCACATAGACAGAGCCAACTATTTAAAACATTTACTATAAAATATAAGCTTCTAACTATTCTTTGAAAGAGGCTTTCTTGTACTATTCTTTATGAGTGCAAAGTGATGTACATAACCAATGAACATAGTGAACGCAATGTATAGGTATACATATAATAAAAAGCGGAGAATATTACTTCCAATATGAAAACGATTAATAATATTACATATAGTTATTCAAAATTTTACTTCTGGTTGTTATTGCAATATTTATAGCATACCTTACCAAATTAAAAGCTCGTTTTGGTTTATGATAACCCTATCATACGTTGCATGGACCGATATTGTGTCTATGAGAACTATAATATATTGTTAGGTCAACCATAACTTACGTAATTAGAAAAATTATAAAAATATAGTTGGCTCCTAAAATGACTATAAATTATAGTGAGATTGTGATAACTGCAACCATTTTTTTTCTGTCAGTGCAAAATGTAGATAGCCTATACTTGTAATTTATTAAAATGTGAGTTCATTTCCGCATCGATTTTTGCTGAAAATGTAGCATTTTAAATATAATTACAAATCGTTTATCGATTTGAATATGTGAATTTGCTGACGATAATAACTTCACCCGTAAGAAAACTGCGTTATGTCTGAAAAAAAAATCGGCACACAGGACAAATGTGAAAAGAAACGGTATATGAAATTACATTTTAATAAATTACAAGTATAGGCTATCTACATCGCATTGGCCATTCTTGTGTGCTGTTTAGTTTTAATAAGAGACCAACTTTAATTCTATTAATTAACAATAAGATACGTGAAGAAAATTGGGAATAAAGTAGACGAGGTGTTGAGACAGGCGAGATCGTTATTTGTCATTTCAAGCGACATTCGTCATGTCTGGCAAATTTTTATGTTTGAACTCACAACTTTCGACCATGGTTTGTGGTCCTTTTCAAGTGATTTTGTGTGGTTATTTTAAAAGTGGAAATTGAGACGTATGTTTCTTAGGTGTGCTAGAAGTAGATCAGATCTTCTGCAACGTAGTAAAAAAATGAGTTCTTGATTAGATCTACGAAGTCTGTTGTTAGAATCAATTCAAGGACCACAAACCATGGTCGAAACGTTGTGAGTTTAAACATTAACATTTGCCAGACAGGTCAAGTAATCATTGAAGTTTTTTTAATTATTAACGTTGAGGATGTAAGAAATTATTTGTTATGTGTCACTGAAAAGGATCACATTAGTGGAACGAAACGTTTGACCAATGTTTTTATACAATACATTAAACTTTTGTATTCTGCATCGAACATTCTACGTCGACTCTTCCTGCCTCCCTTTTCGTCTCTATTTTAAAGTAGATGAATAAATAATGTGAAATTTCTTTTATAATCCTAAAATATTCGAAAATGTGCAACTTCGACCGATTGCTAGTATCAAGATTCATATTGCGATATCAAGTAAATGGTCGAATGAAAATGCATTAAATAATTTAACGTGGGTACAAAGATAACCGGAAAAGTGACAAAAATACCGTAATATAATCATGACTAGAGAATCAAGGCAATTCTAACAGAATAAAAAATATCGATATCAACATCGAAAATATATTGTCTGCCCATTATCGAAAATCCTATATTTGATTTCATTAATCAATTGCCTAGTTTTAGAATCAATAATTTTCAATCACTTTAAATCATAAATTCTTCCTTCATCACTCGAACCCCCAAATCATTTT